CTGTCCTAAAGAGAGCAGAGATAATGAGAGGCTGCCTTCAATGCTCTGAGCTGAGACTTCACAAGGCTCAGCTCTGAGCACTTGTGACTCAGTCTTATCTCTGCCTTACTCTTCTTTCCTTCTCCCTGTCTCTCCATCTGTCCCCAAATAAATCTCTGTCCCTATCCCAGCCTTCAGCTCTTAGGTCCCCCATGAGAGCTCATGCTGAGATTAGATACTACATAGAATCTCATTTGTTCCTCACCTGTGATCATGATGTCCAGGGGATCACTGGAGGCTGACCACTCAGAGGAGAGGTTGTGTGCACCATAGCATCTGTATTGGCCTCCTGTAGAGCTGCTCACATAGCCCAGGGTGAAGGTGGCCAACAGGAGCCCATCCTGGGTCCTCTGGCCATACCGCTTGGTGAAGATGTCTTCCCCCACCTTGTACAGAGCAAATCTGTCATAGTTGATGTCAGAGACACACTGCAGGGTGAGGCTCTTCCCAGGTTCCAGGATATGGCCTTGGTGACTCAGCAGGGAGGGCTTCTTGGACAGACCTAGAGGGAAGGTGACAGCCTAGTGATTGAGGAGCTGGTTTTCACCAAACACCTATTCCTTCCCATCATGCCCTGCACATGTCACTGCTTCTCCCCAGGAGTGGGGCTCTGACTCAGCAATCAGGATCTTTCTTTTTCACTCTTTATCTGCAACTACTCAGTGGGACAGGGTCATAACAAAGGGCTTAGGGTGTCAAAAAAGATTTTCAGTGATGGGGCTGACTCACCTGAGATGTGTATTTCCAGGGGCTCACTGGGTACTGACCACAGCTGTGGGGTTTGCTTGTAGTAACCATAGCATCGGAATGTCCCTCTGTGGTCTGCTGTTACATGATCTATAGAGAATAAGGCTTGGTACTGCTTAATACTGTGTATATACTGTGAGTTCAGGGAGCTGGAGAACTTCTGATCTTCCTTGGTGAGAATGAACTTGTGATAGAACACCCGTGAGACACACTGGAGAGTCATGTTCCCTCCTGAGGTCACCACAGGGCTGGACCGTGCTGACAGACTGAGTTTACTGTCATAGATTCCTAGGACAAAAAGAGGCAGCCTGTTACATGTGATTACACAGTCACAATGCTGTCAGGGCTAGGCTTTGGGAGGGGGTACTTTGAGCGCAGAGCCTGGGGAGACCCTTACTGTCCCCTCACCTGTCACCACCAGTTCCAGGGTGTCACTGGGCTCTGACCAGCCAGCTGAGCTGTAACAGTAACAGCGATATTGCCCCCCATTGTTCTCTGTCACAGAAGGAATGGAGAATATGGACTTGTTCCCAGGCTCCTTTGGGGTCTGTGTACCCCAGGTTTGTTGGCTTCCCTCTTTATGCAGAAAACACATTTCTGCATCCAGGGTCCCCTGACAGGAGATGTTCATGGGGCTTCCTAAGGCGACTACAGGGCCTGGCTCAGTCTTGATGGTGGGTTTGTGGAGGGCCCCTGCAAGGAAATAGGAGAGAAGAAGGTGTGTCTGTCTGAAAGTGACACAGGAGAGTCACCGTTGAAGATGGCTCTTATTTCTATTTAGGTTATTATTCTGGCCAACAATACACTCTGCCAGATTCCCCTTACCTCCCCTCTTCACAAGATCCACTGCTGCTCTGTTTCCCTTCAGAACAGAGCGGGGGTTCCCAGTGATATTAATGGAACATGACATAACAACTTGCAGTAAGACTAGGCAAACACCCTCCTATTAAGTCTGGAGAAGGCAACCCAGTAGGAGGAAAAAGATCTCCTGTGCAGGCAAAAGAGTCAGAGACTTCCAGACTCCTATTTTTATGAGTCTAACAAAAACCCCAAGCTAGTCAGGCAGGGGTGTGCATGCCTTTAATTCCAACACTCAGGAGGCAAATGCAGGCAGGTCTCTGTGAGTTCAAGGCCAGCCTGGCCTACAGAGTGAACCTCTAAAAAACAAAAAATAAAAAAGACCCCAGAGTAAACCAGCACAGTCTATGTGCAGAGGGCTTAGGGAAGACCGAAACATGAGCCTTGGTGGCTGCTTCAGTCTCTGTGAGCCCTCCTGGTCCCTGCTGAGCTGATCCTGTGGGCTGTGTTCTCCTGGTGTCCTGAGTGCTCTGGCTTCTCCACCCCTTTCCTCTCTCTTTTTTTCTGTGGAGTTTCCCAAGCTCTGGTGGATGCTTTGTAAGCTGATCCAGAGTAACAGAGAGCAACAGAGGGCCCCATGAAGATTCCCATCTGTCCTGGACCTCGTAGACTCTCATGTCACTGTGTCCCTTGGATTCTGTGTCTTGTGTCCCTCTGTCTCCCACGATCTGTGTCAATGGGCTCAGGAGCCCTGGCTCCTCACACTCCACACACCAAGGCCTCCCTCAGCTCCTGTGTCAGTTCAGCAGCCTTCTAGGGAAAGCTGGGGTTCCTCACCTGAGACCAGGAGCTCCAGGGGGTCACTAGGTTTTGACCACACCCGTGGGCTGTTACTATCAAAGCTGTAGCATCTGAATGTCCACCTTTGGCTAGAGGTCACAGGACCCACAGGAAACAAGTCCTGGTACTTTTGAGTAGATTGGTCTGAGTCCAGTATCCAATAGCGCTTTTTTGTCCCTTCCTTGGTCATAATTAACTTGTGATATGGTTGCCTTGAGACACACTGGAGGCTGACTTTCCCTCCTTCAGTCACCACAGGGCTGGGATGGGCTGACAGGCGGGGTTTACTGTAGACACCTAGGAGAGAAGGAGAATCAATTAAATGCCCTCCAAGGCCTCTTTACTCTCCAGGGTTGTGTGGAGAGTCATCCCGGTGTCCAGAACACTTATTGACAGACAAACCTGAGGCTGTGGACTCTGTGAGTCCTCTCACCTGTCACCACCAGCTCCAGGGCGTCACTGTGTTGTGACCATCCATCATGGGTCCAGTATTGACAGTTATATCGCCCTGCATCCTGAGGGGCTATTTTTGAGATTGAGAATTCAGCCTTGTTAGGATTCAGTGGAATTTCTTTGTTCCTGAAATATCCATTTCTATACAGACGGTATTCTTGGGCTCCCTTGGTCCCCTCACACAGGAAGGTCACTGTAGTCTGCTCTGCAACCACAGATTCTGGCTGTACACTGAGGATAGGCTTAGGGAGAGTTCCTGCAAGGAAAAGATCAGCTAGGACCCAGGGCAGCCATTCTCAGATTGCAGCCCCTGATCCCAACCCTCAGCCATCCCCAGGGGCAGCACACATGTGTTGGTTTCCATCCTCACTGCCCAGCATGAGTCCAGGAATGATGAGAAGTGATGTCAGGACATCTGCAGACACTCACTCACGTCCCAGGGTCAGTTCTGGAAGAGAGTACCCTGTGAGAGGTTTGTCCCTGAAGCTTGAGAAGGTCCTCCCCTCTGCAGAACCTCCTGAGACCCTGGGGTTTCCTAACTGACCCGTGCTGGGCTGTGGGGCAGCATCAATCCCAGAGCACAGCATCCCTCCCCATCTCCACATCTCACCCAGACAGAGCAGGACTGTGAAGGAGACGGTCATGGCGTCTCCTCCTGGAGGCTGCAACTGTGCTTATCAGCAGAGTTACAGAGTCTGTCTGAAGGGGCTGGAGACATAGGGTGTGGCCTCTGGAGGCAGGGCAGCACCACAGGAAGGGGAAACTTCCCTCCTCACACACCAGGCTCCAACTTCCCCAAGGTTGTGTCTAGGTCAGGTAGTAGACTCCATCCATTTTTATGGAAATGACATTTGGATGTCATTTCCAAAATCCCATCAGTGTCTGTCTCATCTGTCCTCATCTTCGTCAGAACCAGGTGGTAGCAGTCATGAATGTATATTACACACAAGAAACACAAATTTTCGTGTGGGCTTGCTTTATTTCTTTTCACATTTTTATGTGAAATGTTTCCTCATATTCAAAATGTTTGAAGGTTTCTGTTCAGGGTCTCACTGTGCACATCTGCGTGGAATAAAATGTATAATCCACTTCCTCAGAGTCTCAAGTACTAGGTGACAAGTGTGCACTAGGGACTGGAGAGACGGCTCAGACGTTAAGAATACTGGCTGCTCCACAGGCTGGGGAAAGATGTTTACTTAGC